TTGCGGAAAAAATCCCCTCATGTCCGCAGTTCTCCGGCGAAAAACGCTTTTTTACAATTGAAAAAACGTCGCAAGGCTCTAAATAGGCACTATGTCTAATTTCTGGTTGCAAATTGTGTTTCTGTGGAAAAATTAGAGCGATAAGGGGCTTTGTCCTGTGAAATGAGAAATTTCACAAATTTTTTGTTTCCGCGTTTCCATGCGAGATCAAAGCCTTCCAAAGTAACATATGGACTTCTGTTGTGTAAGTAAATTCTACAGATTTTTTTCTGCTAGCTAGCGGCACTCTGCGTTTTTCTGGCACCAAACTCAAAATCGCGAAATTTGAAGCCCCACATTTGAGAACTTCGTTCTCGATGGCTAGCTCATGAAATGTTGTGCTTGAACTTCCTTTATGGAGCATGAGACCTCTAATATTTTTAGCATACAAGATTATAAATTTAGGTTTAAGTCTTTGAAAAGTTGTTGAATTTTGTTTGAATTACGCAAGAACTTTCGTGCCAACCTAATATTAAGTGAGCATCAGATTTATAATTTTCGAAAAAACGCCAAAAAATCAAATTTGCTTTTTGTATTGCTTGAAACATAACTCTTCACAAAGCGTACTTAATACGAACTCTTTACTAGTGGAAAGGATGGATGATAAGATTTATATCACTGCTTGCTTCGAATTTCATCGCAGGATTAGGAGTTTTGGGACCTAAGTCTGAATAGTCGATTCTGAAATGTTTTATTCTCCTATTGTTTTCTCAGATCACATTTGTCAGAGGGCGAGCAGGCTATAAGGAAATTGTTTTCCTCTACCTAGGAAATTAAGTTTGTTCAAATCGCTAAGAGAGCAAGGAGTTACGTTCAGAAAATGTTGCAAACGAACTTTTGCACCAAAATAATATATTATTATTCTACGGGTCCGCTGATTACAGCGTTCCCCACTAGGAGCTTTAATGTTTGTTCCCATATGCATGACTATATGAAGGATCGCACAAACCTCGACTTAATAAGAGATAAAGAGAGTTTAGAGAAATACACCAATACTGCACATCTCTAGAAGGAGATTAGGCATCAAAAGAAGAAGCTAAGGATCAATACTTCAGTTCCATTTCGTTAATGGTTGGAACCAAAAATTTAATTTATTCAATGGGAGCGCGCCAATTGCGGCGAAAAAAATTTAGGCTATCAATGAGGGGATCTGCAATAGAAGTAAACAAATAGCTTTCTCAATATGCGCTGGAGTGTGCTGCCGATAGAAGCTGCCAAAAGGCTAATCGCATTTTAGGATTTCACACCGTAACCACGGCATCATTGAAAAAAAAGCAAAGCAGCAGCAGGAAGGACCAACACGAAATAGCGACGAGGAGAAGATTCGCTGCACAAACATTATTGTGAAAAACCGGATTGCAGTGTCTGTAATTGCACACTGCTAAACGCACTTTTGATCGCAATTAGTTATTCAAAAGCTTTATAGCTGCACAAAGTAGAGACAACCAAAACTAAAACTTTGCAAACTGTTTTCATTGGTAGAAGGAGTAAAAAATAGCAGTTGCTGTCATGTCTTAGCGAATGGTGTGAATACGCCAGTAAGAAATTTTACCGCTCAGATTCCGGACCACGGCATAATCTTCATACCGCGATAGTAGTAAAGGCCCAAAGATAAATGATGACCAAAGAAGAAAAAATCTTCAGCATATGCTTGTGGATCAGTCAAATCTCCAACTACTGGAAAAGTGTAAAAAAATTCCATTGCTTAACCAGAAAGTATTATGGGGAAGATAGTGAAAGATTGGCTCTTGAACGCCAGTGTTAGGACGCTGATATTTACGAACTTAGATTGTCAACTATTGAGTTGATGCAACATGGAGAATTTTTGAAATTCCGTTTCTTTCTCCAGCTTGTATAAAAAATTTAATTTGATATGTAATAGAAAGGAAATGCGCTTTACGCTTGTGTTTGGATTGAAATCACCTGATGTCATAAGAAAAATACAAAAAGTGATTGTTCGAGTTTTTGTCGCCAACATTGCTGATGCACCTATTGAAACTTAAATTTATTGCTGGTCTTCTTTTAACGAACTACTCTTTTTGAACAAGAAAAGTCAATAGCGATCAGATGTCACTACGAATAATTATGACCTCCGCAATTTCCAGTTCAACTTATCGACATCAATCCAGACTGATTTCTTAGAAAGTACTTCAAAATATTACCTTCAATTTACATAACAACGAGAATACATGAAAACTGATTAATTTGTTTAATCATCTATAGGAAGAGTCTTTGTATTTTTGGTTAAAGAATTAAGCATCAATCTAACAAATCTGAGCTGCCAAAAGGGAAAATGGGCGACCTGTTTTTCCCTACACCTGATTGTAATATCGAATAAGGAGGGGATTTCCAAAGTAAAGATTTGGACCTCTCGCAGCCAAAGGACACTGGCGGCACGAATTCGTTGCTTTGTGGGATGTAATGTCATTGATCTTACAAAAAGATGTTCAAGAAAGAATGCACTGTCAAATTAGAATTCTTATTAAAGACAGCTAGATACTAGGCAGTCCATAACTGCTTGATTAGGGATCGAGATGATCTCAGATAGATATTAGGTCAGTTTCACACATCCTTGAGGAAAAGCACTCCTAATAAAGGGTTCAAAAAGTTTTTGGGAAACGCTTCACTAAACTCATTATGGTTTACAAGACCGATTGACTCCGCAGGTAAGTCGTGACAGGGTTGATGCAACTTCCTGCAATTCCATGACTGGTATATTTGAGAATGGATCAAAAAATAGCAGTCCATATTTGCTACAAGACAAGTTCTTAACTTCTTCCGCCCTACTGGTGTGGAGACGTAACCTTCAACCTAACAAAGTATCACATCTAAATTGCTATGAGGAGCGACTATTGGAAGCCCCTAGAAAAAGATTTACGCGACGGTTAATTTTTAACTTCCTCCTAAAAAATCTGATAGCTGTCATAAAGCTGTCACATCACTGGGTGGCTACTGATATGGTGCACTTAGACACACGTCTTTATTTGAAAGTTCGTAATGGGCAAATTTGTTGATGTAGGATCGAGATCGATATCAAGTTGTTACATGAGTCTTGTTATACTCAAATTCATATCAAAAAGCGTCCATACATTTCTCGAAAAAATTTCCTCGTTTTCAACTTACATGGAAGGTGTGGATTTTCGATTTGACATCTCACATATGGGAAGACATTTTTTGAAATTTGCAAAGAGGTGTCAAACTATTAGGTGGGTGCAAAAGTTCTTGCGCCGAATTTTCAAAAAACCATAACTTCCTTCCTTCTTGGTGGAATTTTTTACATTTATTTCTGTTTGAAAGAGAAAACCTTTTTCTTTATAGCGGTGCCTTTGCCATGAATTAGCGTTGGTAAGTTCGAGAGTTAAAAGCAATTGAAGGAAATTAGTCAAGATCGACATTTTTTAAGCTGGGATCACGAAAAATTCTGCAAGCTTGAAAACGTCACAGAACAGGCGAAAAAGTCATAAACATGGGTTTTGTGACCTCCCCTTTCTAGCTGAGCGAAAATCGTGCCAATCGGGAGCAATTTTCATTTTCGTGAAAAACGCAGACCCGAAAATCCGAATAAATCACGAAAAATAAAAATTGCTCCCGATTGGCACGATTTTCGCTCAGCTAGAAAGGGAAGATCACAAAACCCATGTTTATGACTTTTTCGCCTATTCTGTGACGTTTTCAAGCTTTTTTGATTGTGCTCAAAAATTGCAAAACTAAAGAAATTCTCTTTAATTGCTTCTAACTCTCGATCTACTTCGTTTTAATCAATGAAAAAGGTACCACTGTAATGTGCAAAATTTTCTCTATCAAATAAGAATACTTGCAGAATTTTTCGTGAACCAGCTTGAAAAATGTCGATCTTGACTACTTTCCTTCAATTGCTGCTAGCTTTGGAACTTTCTAACGACGCTTCACAGCAAAGGTACCGTTGTAAAGGGAATGGTTTCCTCTTTCAGATGAAATTAAAATCAAGAAAATCCATGGAGTGGCAAGGAAGTTATGATTTTTTGAAAATTCGGCGCAAGAACTTTTGCACCCACCTAATATATCTGGCAAATTCCCAAGCCGCGTTATTAGGAGCCTGAACTCAAGAACTATTTCCGTGCCATTACTGATGCTCTCAGAAGTCCAAATCTAAGTAAGGGGAAGAATGAAGACTGATAAAAGGTTAAAGTGTTTAGGGAATTGCATTTAATTTATTTTGACACATGTCTGTAGCAAGCTTGCTAATGAAAACCCTTTCATTTCTTTTCCAAATATGCCAACTACATCCTACCGATTGTTCTAATTTTCGGAAGAAAACGATGGAAGTGTAACAAAACATATTTAACAATTTGAAATATTCGAGGCGCTGAGATACTTGCACCAAAAATCAAAATGCTTTTCTTTTCACATACATGTGACTGTTTACCTTGACACAAAATAGGCGCATCCACTGTGACACTTTCCACTTTCCATATTTCACTTTTCGAAAAATTGCGAGCAGTTTGGAAAAGAACTGTTCCAGTAACATCATTCATCCATCACAGTGGCACATCAGCACCATACAAAATATCTGTGCACAGAAAACGTCCAATACGCCCCAGTTACAAGTTCAAATAGTTCCGCGAACTAAAGAGCATTCCTCCCCCCCCCCCCCCCCCCCCAGACCAGTGTTGCGTTATTTCTGTACGGAACATCTCGCCCAGTCGCTATCGCAACTTATCAGCCCATTGAATTTTTGAGCTACGCACCTTCGTCATGGTGTGATTGGGGCGCGAAGTAAATGCTTTGTCTTTTGGTGGCGAACGTTCCGTTCGCATGCTTCAATCACTGGCCGATGATGAATTGTTGCCTCTAATTGGGGAAAAAGAAAGTTCCTCGGCATGCTCTGACGCTAATGTTGTCAGAATAAGGAATGTGTCGAATCTGTTACCATTAGACATTTTGGGTTAGTCTAAGCGACTTGTGATTCAAAGATTGTTGTAGGAAACATCCGCGTTCCGTGCACTCACGCCCGCCACAGCAAGCGGGGCGGAGCCCGTGAGACGCTACCACCGGCGGGGGTGGGGGCCCGATAGAGACTTCGAGTGAACCGCCAGCGGCAGCATAGGTGTCTATGCTGAGGAACCCTTCAAAAACCACCGTAATCCACTCCTGCCAATGTTGACCTCTGTCCTGGCTGCTCTAGCCGCGTTCAGCTCTGCAGCGATCGCAGCGCCCCTCGACAGTACATTCATCGAACTACCCGATGAAATGAACAATGGCACTCTCTACTCAATCAGTGACTTTTCTCCGAAAGTCTTCGTCAAGACCGATGAATTTGAGCTGAACTTCAAGTCCTGTGTTCAATTCACCTACAAGCTACTGAAGCCCAAAGTTCGGTTAGTCTTTCGAGTCATCTCTCATGTTTTCATTTCTTCGTCCAACTCCTCTCACCAAATGTGCCATCTCAGCAGTGTTTTCATTTCGGCGACGCAGTCGATCACGTATTTATGCAGCTCACGTACAAAAACTCGCAGCTAACTATATTTCCCTGACTGCAAAGGTCGACTATTGCATGTGAATCTCGGTCAATTGAGCCATTCATCGTGATTCTCAGCACAGTACTTGCTCCGAATTCGTTTCCCAGCCCTAGCTTGATGTTAGACTAACACAAAGAAACACAGACACTGTTCACGCGAAGTTTTCGACATTGTTTACTCTCTCGCCACTTCCCTATTAGGTGCGATAAGCCGGATTCTTTAGTTCGCTAAAAAAAGTTTGACATTTATCAAGATAAAACAGAGGAACAGCAAATGTAGGCAATCGGCAATAGTTCTTTTGAGTAGCGTTGTTCTCTGGGAACTTCTCGGCGGTTTCTCAGGTCTCGAAAGCGTTTGGGTAATTTTCTCTTATCTAACTCGAGGGAAAGCTGTTTCATCGTTCGCAAGATGAGCTGAGCATCATTGATTGCTGACGAAACTACGACGCTAGAAGACTTTGCTTTTCTCCATCTCCTCCCAGACCTCGACCAAAGCTTCTGCTTACAGACTACGCGCCTATACCTGCCTTCTATCAGAAGGAGGTTTCTGCACACTCGACAAGTTCGCCTATCCCAAAAACCGGGAAGGATGCGCATATCTGCGCCCTTGGCTCTACCCATTCGACAGGTAGCTTCACAATAGCTCACTCAAGTGGCAACGTCAAAAAAACCCTCCAAAGACCGATTTACAGATATTCGTTTTACTTCGTGCTAGAACGTCGCCAACGCAAGTACGGTATACTCAGGAAGCGAATCCAACGAGTCTCCCGGAAGACTGGCCGGCTTTCCACGGCCACTTCTGGGGAACTGCAGCTCTTCGGGGTTGTACCGTGTGACCAAGTGTGTGGGAAGACCAAAAGCGATAATCGGACAGGTTGAGCAGTCTGAGGTATATTCTATACATTTTGACTAGTTCATATGATTAGTGTTGAGATTTACATTTGCTTTCTTGATTTTTGTGCCGATGTGTTCCTCACTTGCCCTTCCCTTGCTCGCTTTATTCTGTTTTGTTGATTTTAGTGCCATTCCTCGCTGTTCTTTTTTTTTCCTAAAATTGCGCTGACCTGCCTTTAATTCATTTTGATTTCAAGATGATCACTGTAAATGTCGTTCACATGAGACGGTTACATGAAGTGCTTAGTGATGAGAGCAGCTTCTCCCTCTCCTCTCGGAGTGTTTGCTTTTCATTGGAAATCGAGCGCTTCGCACCCGCATAGATCTCGCAAATGACTAGCTATGACCTCAGATAATGTACGCCACAGACCCACGCTCAACATGGTCATCAAGCGTCTGCAGCGCCTCCTTTTCTTCCGGGTTCGCCTGGGACCGCGATCAGCTCCAGGGTCGAGTCAGCTCTTGCGCCAAAGTTCCGCGAGAGCACATGCTCTCCAAGAGCGTAATAGGGATAATTCCTAATCAAAACTGCGTATTGTTAGCGCGTGTACTTATAGCGCGCTTGAAAGTCGCTCGAGTGCACCTCGGCGACAGCGGATTCGCGACCCGAAGAGCCAACAGAGGAAGCGCAGAGTGAGCAGTTCATGGAGGTCGCGGCGCCTACGATAGCCAAGTTCCTCGCATTTCTGCCTTCGTTATGTCAACATTCGATATGAAACAACACACACGCTGACTTGCATCAGCGTCCACACACACGCACAAATAGCCGCAGCAAATCGCCGGTAACGTGCTCCGGTACGCGCGCACGACCCATGCTTATATAGATAGCATTGCTCAAATTCCTTGCGCGGTAATGCCGTTGTCAAGCACTCCGGGTTGAGAGGAAATGAGAATGGCAGTTTTTGAAAAGTTGCTCCGGTCTTATTTTCACAAAACAATAGCCTAGAAAACTTCTCCCTCGAGACTGAAAGGATGTATGATCTGTTGAACCGCTTAAAAGGAATACGGTCTGGACTGGAGTTTTTCTTGATCACGAATGTTTCGACGGGACCTGCCGCTCAGATAATGGTTTGTATAACTCCTAGTTAGTATCCATATAAGTAGTCCAGACATTCAGGTTTACCCGGCAACTGCTTTGAAAATTGCCTCTTGTGACAGACTCAGCCCATGAGTAGTACCCCCTCCCACACCTACACTTCCTACTTCCTTTCAAGTAGTTTCAAGTGTCTCCATTTGGAAAAATTTTTGTCTCCCCCCCTCCCCTCCCTTACCCGAAAGATTGTTCGCGCCATTGACATAGGGAGAAAAACTTGAGATTCTGTACGAACTACTTTGTCAGTAAACAAAGAAATGGATGTTCTCACATAAGAACAGGGCTCGGCACGGGGTGGCTTTCCGAAATTGCAAAAAACGAAGTACTTCTGATTTTCGCAAAATTTCACGAGTCCCCTTTGAGTCTGATCCGGAATTTCCAATTCGACTGAAAAACGAAACGTCAACTGGAAAAACTAATTTCGGACCCCAAAAAACATTTTTTTGCTTCTCGTCCCAAAATGATATTCAGCTTGCTTATAAGCTACCTGTGCCAAGCCCTAACAAGAGAATATGTTGTTGTTTTTTTTTCACACAGTCTTTTTCGGGGCCAAGGATCAGACCGTAGTGTAGCTTTCTTGGCTTTGTTCTTCCTCATCCGTAACAATGCTCACGTAACTCACGGTATCACATGTTGTTGATATAATTCCCGATCTATTTTCGAGAGCATTAAAACTGAGACATAGCCCATTTCTTTCTTTGTGACCACGCTTTTGTGTGTTTAAGTCGTATTTGCTTACATCTGGATAAAACACCACTCAGAAGACGGTAAATCTCGAGGGAGAAGTTTTGTGACAGACGGCTCTCACTTGTGGCTCTCGCCACATACTTTCACTCCACATCATTGCCCTTTATTTGTTGTAAACATAATTTTTGAGCTGCTTAGTGTATAAATAGTGTATTTCGTTGTGGGATGCCCCACATAAAGCATGTGCACTTTGCCTCTTCACACCCCACACCTTCTCGTCCATGACTAAACAGTACACGGGCTTTCGCCGTTCTCCTGATTCACGTATCAGTGCTGGCTTCCAGCTCGCATATGGCGATGTTGTCGCCGCGTCGGCGCAGGAAACGTTCATTTCTGAGGGAATGCTTGGCGGCTGCACTGTGAAAACAGCTGAGAGAGAGAAAAACATTTGGAACAGATGGGATGTGCTTGAAGTCAAGCAAACCATATATCCAAGGAATTGACATTCATGTCCGTCGTTCCTCAAATGTGAGAGTAATGGTGCTGTTTTTCGTTCGAGCGAAAACAAGCAACGCCTGAATGACACCGAGTCAATCTTCCCCAAACAAGTTCGTCAGAACCAAAATTAGATTCAGTGAAACTTACAGATTTTTAAAGGAAGTCTCTTTTGACGATCAAGTCGGGAGAAAATAATTTTGCTTATATCATAATATTTGCTCGCATCCTATCCTCACAAAGGACTACATCAGGGCTCGGCACAGGTGGCTTATAGAGCTGGATATCGTTTTTGGGACAAAAAGCAAAAGAGATACTATTTCTGTGGGTCCAAAATTAGGTTTTTTTTCTAACATTTGTTTTTTTAGTCGATTCGGATATTTCGGATAAGGATCAAAGAAGAGTTCGTAAAATTTTGCGAAAGTCAGGGGGGACTTCGTTTTTTGTATTTTTGGGCCACCTCTTGCCGAGCCCTGAACTACATTAACGAATTCCAACAATACGATTTTCAAAACTAACAATTGTGCATCGATCGTTGAAAAATGACAAAAATGACTCATGTTCCTCGTTTTTAGATGTTTCCAAGTTAGACATGAACAACATTAGCTAAAGAAGAAAGAAGAACTGCACAGAAGAAAAAGCGTGTTGTTTGCAAATCTAACATAATTTTGCGCATATATGAGATTTTTATGGTGAAAGAAGTGGAAAAAATCTTGTACAGGATGCGATAATTCCGAAAAAAGAAAGTTGGTGAAAAAAGATGAAAAATTCATACAAAGGGTGCGAAAAGTCCGAAAGAAAACTTTGCGCTACTAATTTGCAATTTCACTGGTAGTTTTGAGTGCTGGAATTTATGCCACAGAATGCTGTAATTATCTTTTACAGAAAACGGTTTTGCCAGTTCGGAATGACTGCCATATGTCTTTACAAAAACATTATCAAATTATATTTTCCCGAGCGCAAAAATCCTGTTTTCGGTGTTTCCGATTCGTTCCTCAGGTGAAGATACTCAAAGCATCATGAAAAACTTTATGTCCGCAGGGTGAAGGGGCTTTGCACAACATTATCTTAGGCATACTGCGGATATAAGCGAATATCAATTGCAATGATTAAACAGGAGGAACCGTGATAATTTTTGATGAAACATTGACTATTGGAAAGAGTTGAAATCATTTACGAAGTTTACTTGCTTTTCTACTGCTAAAGGGTCAATTAATGGAAACCAAAGCATACCCTCGACGTCAATCCCTAAGTTACATTTGCAAAGTGGAGTGTTGTGGTGCGGCCGCCTCGCTTTGGGCTCGCGCCATTTTGCGAGCGCATGAGTTGGCATGGCGTGGCAACAGGAGCAACGAAGAAACGTTGTTCTTGTTGCCACGTTTGAACATGTCGTGGCGCCACATCGTTTTTAGCAACACATCACGTCTAAACGATGCCCCAGCAACGTGGCGCGAGCGCAAAGCGAGGCAGCTGCACCACACCACTCCATTTTGCAAATGTAACTTAGGGATTGACGTCGAGGGTATGTCCCTGCTTTTGTTGCAAAGCATTGAGCAGATAAGGTCAACGTTGATGATTTCGACGATCCAATAATGTACAAATTTCCTCAAAAAAAAAATCATAAGTTCCTTAAAGAGATCGTTTCGCAGAAGGGCAGATTTGGAATCATTTCGAATGGCCATGGTCATCAAATATCTTTCCCTTGTAAGGCTTTACAATTCCATGAGTCTCCTAGAATCTACTTCAATTTCGTTAATAAAGCGGTCAAAAATTTTAACAATTTCGCTTCCCCTCTGCAGAAATTCTCACTGAACGGTGTTGAGCATGTGGCTATGATACGATATTTTAAAGGCAATGTCTCATCAAAGTTGACGCGGATTTTCACATATTCTATTATAGGGACCTCTAAATAGGCCACTGCAACAAGTCCCACTCAATTTTACCCCCTCCATGCTGAGAAAAATTCGCTCAAAGTGGTACGCGAAGAGCGACTTGGCACGCGCGGACGACTCCTTCGGTCTTCCCCCTTACGCGTTTGAACATGTCCCTCCAGTTGGCATCCACCTCCCCTCTGTTGCTGCCACTGTGGCTGAGGCTGAAGTTGGAAGGTACAACTAGTCCACGTTGCTTCCGCGGGGCCTCCAGAAAACGGGGTTTTGGGAACTTCGTGCGATTCTAAGCCCATGAAATGCTAGACAGGGTCCGACAGGCTTGCAAAATGCAAAAATCTCAGCAACTAAATTTTGGTGAGACACTGCCTTTAAGCCTGAACTTTGCTAGAATCTTACATGGTAATTCTGTAGCCGAAAGCTTCTCTTTCATAACCCAATTTTTGAATGAAATAGGCAATTTTCGTGAAGGCGGGGGATATTACTATAGCTATACTGTCTGAGACAATGCCTTATGTTTGAATGAAAAATTCGAATGCTACGCTGTATTTATCACTATTTGCATCACGTCAGTGCCGAATTTTCTTCTTCCCTAGGTTCTTTTACGTTTTCATTAACAACAAAAGGAACTGACATGAGTTTTGAACTTTTGCGCACATGGAACTACAAAGTTAGCGTAGGGGAACGAAGGCCGCCAGTTTAAGCCGCCTTTCGCGGCCAAATGGTCCTTTTGCGGTGTTGTTGCATATCGTTCCAGGACCAGTAACCCGCGGAAATGGCCTAAACTGGCGGCTTTTATTCCCCTACCCACAAACTTACACATAAATGTAAAAAAAAACTACCACATCTTCACTATGCCATTTTTTCTTGCCATCAATCAAAGCTTTTTACTCTGTGCGACTTAGCGTTGAGTATACTAACAACGGCATCGGCTTTGCAAGAAACTTGAATAAGTTTACAGAATTGCTCAAAAAGTTGTGTGCGATTATATGAGCAATCCTTCTCAATGAGAAGAAGAGAAAAATGTGGACAAGAGTTGAGTTCAGAGAAAAATGTGTACTGTGCATTTGTTCTCTTCTACTACACTGCAACTTCATGGTGACCATCCCGCACGGCAATTACCATAGCTTTCCTTACATAAATGAAGTGATGCAAAGTTCCGCGAAAAAAGCATTATAAATTGTCATGATACCTAACGTTTTGAAAATTTTATGAAAGGAATCAATGTTGAAATTCTAGTGATAAGATCTAAGAGAATAAATGAAAGATAAGATCGATGATGATCAAAAAGTGTGAAATCCACGTCCTCCAGTACGATACGCTAATTCTGCTCATGATTCTTGACAAGTATAAATCTGAATGTTTAGGTTGACGCCTTGCAAAAAAAAACAAGAATAAAAAGCTTGAGGAGTGGAAGTTCATGGAAGTTTAGAACTTGAGGAATAGTGAAGCCAAGAAGGATGTCTAGAAGTGGCCTTTGAGATGAGACGCATACCATTTTAGGTGGCATGAAACCCTGACTTTACTGCTTTCATTACCTGTGGAGCTTTTCCTGACGAAGAGTTATGAGCAATCAACAGAGCAAAAAATATGCGCCACTAGGATAAGATCGCTTGTGAGACTCTTTCCAGACCTCAAATGCAGCATTGAGAATTGTCAGAGCACACCGTGCAACAGACAATCTTAGTCTGAGTATAAGCTCATTCACCGCTGTTTCCCTCCAAGATGGTATGATCTCATCTCAAAAGGCAACTTACTGAACATCATTCCCTTGAAGGATTGGAAAGAGACCCTAGGACGCCCTGTAAGTCGAAAAGGCAGAAAAAGACATCGATAACTTGCCACACTGTTATTGTGGATTAATCAATCAGGCATTTAAAAATATCACCCTCAATTCTACTGCTCTTTCGGCTTGTTTAGCAATTTGCAAAAGTCTTTACCCTAAGATCTCCGAACCGTACAACCAAAAACTGGTGAATTTTTTACTGCCACAAGATCTTGCTTCCAAGATGTTCGAGTATCATTTTTTAAACGACTGATGGAATCCCGCCCCAACATGCACCCGTTGGAAGATAAACTATTCGTGCATGTTCCCGCTTTTCCAAAAAGTCATCATGCCTAGAATTTTGTTGAAAATTCATGTTTTTCTTTTGAATTGGAAATCGATACTAAGAGTAGCAAAATTCATAAACGATGAGTGTCATAAGATACGCTGCTAATCAAACAAGATTCTCACAACTCTTGAATGTGTAGACTACGCCGATGGTCATGCACACTCTCAATAGCTTTTTCCTCTAAACATTGTTCCTTTGTAATTCTTTGCGCCATTCAAAGGTTATGTTAAAGGCAGTGTCCAGGCTAAACCTAACCCCCTCCGATTAGTGTCGATCTTGAATGTAGGTCCCAGAAAAGGGACATCTGCGTTAGTCCGGTCTTCTAACGTTGTCTCTGAATGGAGATAAGGGCCTGAAAGTCCCTGGCTAGGCGGAGTCTGATATCAGACTCCGCCCACCAGGGACTGCTCACTATCTTGTCAATACGTGCCTCCCGACACGTATTGACAAGGTAGTGAGCAGAAGCTGCACACTGCATCCTGCTATGCAACTGCACCCATGCAGTTGCAGCTCCTCCCCGCTGGCCTGCCGACGGGGACGAACGATTCGAAACTCGTCCGCGCCCTCAGAAAGGGTCCCCAAGAATCGGGTTTTTTGTGAATTTAATAGAGTTTGAAGTTCGGAACTGTAATCAGGGCCACGGAAAGGCCCCAGAATGACGAAAACATGGAGGGCCAAATTCTGGGTGGACGCTGCCTTTAAGAAAAGATGAAGCTATGAAAAAAAATGACACAGAAACGCACCAACCAACCAAGGGATAACTTCCTAGGATGTAGGTAGTATGCTAGATTCGGTGGCCATGAGCAATCACACAAAATATTCGAAAGATGCAGATTAACGACATCATCACTACGATAGGAACACGACACACGCACACGTACGCAAATGCACAACATACATGTGGGAAAACTTTATTCTAAGCGGTAAAGGGGAAAACAAGCGAATCTGCAGTAGTGATGGACGTCAGCATTACCACGAAGAACAACCAAATGACTCACCCAGAGCTAACTAGTTGCACTATTTACACATTCACGGGAAGTCTCTGCAAAGATGCGTAAACAAAGAAACAGCAGACATTTCTGTACTCTCTGAAGCAATCATAGATCGTTCGTTTTTCTTCCAATAAGGTGTGCTTTCAAAATCCAGTACAACCACGCTTTCGTATGTATCATTTGTTTTTCTAAAAGTGCCAGAGCTGCCGTTCCCTAACTAAGTCAAAGCCCAGTCTTTCGCCTGATTTGATGGAAAAGGAGGTGACGAAGCTAACATATAGCAGTACAATTTCGAAACGAATAGCCTGCAAGCAAACAAAGAAAGAGGGGAAAGAGCTACGAATGGAACAAATAGCAAACAGGGATTTACAACCACTTTATACAAATTGCAAAATGCAGATACCGTATATAGAAAGGGGAAGTATCGACATCACCTTTCAAGCTCTTCCAAAGCAGCTTTTTGCAATACTACGAAAGACAGAAGCATGAAAAAGGCGAAACAAAGGTGCAGGCTTTTCAAAGGTGATATTTTTTGTCAATATTCTAGCTTAAAAAGCAAGCAGAAAGATCTTTGTTAAATTCGAAAAAAAAGAGATTGAAAAAAGTCGGAAATCATGGTCTAAGCAGAGTATAACATCACAGTTTGTTCACGCTCAGTCAATGGAAACTAAAAGCCTGTATAAAAGAATTAGATAAGATTCAAATTCGTCTCAATCCAGTCTAACAGACTCAAATATGCTAAACAGCAAAAAAGACAAAGAAAATGAGCAAAACAAAGTCTTTGTGCAAATATACACAACATACACAGCGCAACAGTGAGTGGCACGGCCACACTTCAGTTGCTTTTGTACAACTTTTGAACACATAAATTCTTCGTTTCTAGAACCAGACGTAAATCAACCAGGGCAACTGGAACGTTTGTGAGATGTAGAACATTTTTCCGCTAGGAAATGCACTTTGTGTTCTCCTCCTTTCCAGTCTGCGCTTTTTGAAAGCATAGAGATCACAAGGTAAATTATACAGCTAAGCGATAGCTTCCACTTCTTCCCAGCGACTCTGGCTGCCAGGGAAGTTCCATCCAGATCGTAGCGAGACTGCTTCAATCTTCCCAAAGCGAGTTGGCCCATAGTAAAATCGAGCCATCGCCAGCGCCGACAGCTAAGTCACCATCGAAGTAGTCGAATCGACAAGGATCACACTCGAAATTCATCTCAGCCAGCATCGTCGGCCGCACTCCGATTGTGAATGCCTTCAACAAAATTTGAATAGCTAAATACTGAAAGCAAAATGAAAAACTCTGTGTTTACAGCAATTCGAATAAAACATGTATTATATTATCACTCCATCGCAATCCATTGAGTTAGGATGGCACGAAAGTACAGCTCCACCATTTTAAAACTCATAACTTCTTGCCTATTTGATGTAATTGCACGATTCCAACTTCATTCAAAAAAAAATCATGTTCTCTCTTATCAGCTCACTAGTAAGCATTTATTGCCTAGAAGCGGTAGTCGAAAATTACTCTTCCGATGTTTCTATGTTTGCTCGTAAATCTGAAACATGCAGTAAAAATAGGAGCAGACGGTGCCATGACCATAGGTGCGATGGGGTGAGCAAAAGTTCATCCCCCCTTCACTTTAGAGGTCGGACCCCCCCCCCCCTTCACCCGACGGACGGAAAATTTTTTTCAAGGTGAGGAATTCCTCCACAACTACAAAAATATCAATGAAAAAATGCATTTCGAAAGGATCGAACGCAGAATCTAATAAAAATGATTTCGACCGACAATAACATGGGCAGCAGACAATGGCAGAAATTTAGAGGCTTGAAAGGCGCTGATGGACAGATTACCTGGAAAATATTGATGTGAATGGTGTTCAAAAGAGACCTTGCATTGATCTTGAATTTTTTTTGCAAATAAATCATTATGTCGTTTGTAGTACAATAAAAGTATTTGTTGTTCAGTTGTGTTCGCTTAAAGCATAATAAACATACAGAGTCCAGAACAATGATAAAAATAGTATAAATGATGTTAGGAGGAATTTCTAGAGCAGTACAGTTGAAGTCATAATGTTGGCCATATTTAAGGAAAGTCAGTTTTTGAGTCAGTATGACTTGAGCAAGTTGCAGAATGTCATCTTGCGAAAGTATAGGCGTTAGTAAGGAACCTCCTTTCCTCTATTACAGAGAAAAAAAGTAGATCCTAAAAAATTCCTCTTAGAGTTATGAAGTCGCAAATAGAGCAGAAATCACGTCTCCAAAAATCGATTTTTCGCAAATAACTTGTGTGTATGTTAACGAACCTGAGTGGGAAAGGTATAGGTAGATTCTACTCATCAAGAGCTCTCGATTGATATATAGCATGTGGGGGTCCTATGTTTTTTAAGCCCTGCGAGGGGGGGGGGGGGTGATCAGCCTCAGTTCAAGGTGATCACCTCCCGCCACCTTAATGCATTGGAGAGGCGCCGGCGGGTGATCACCCTGAACTGAGCCCGATCACCCCCCTTCCCGCAACCCGGAAGCTTCAAACCCCCACATGTTATATATCATTCGAAAGCTCTTGAGGAGAAGAATCCATCTATACTATTCCCGTTTCGATTTATTTACTTATATAAAAATTATATTAAAAAAATCGATTTTTGATGGGTTTTTTTGCAGCTTCATATCCCGGCGACGGGGGCATTTCATGCTTCAGTTTTTTCTGCATCTTACAGAGGAAGGTTCACTGAGTCTTACCTATACCCTCGCAGAGAGATCGGATATACTGAAGGAGAGTTACATCAAGGAAAAGAAGGTGCTTAGAAAACACAGGTAAATTTGGAATATTAGTCAGTCGCTCCCGTGGAATCTCTTTGCGAGGGTATAGGTAATACTAAATAGACCTCCCTCTTAAAGATGCAAAAAAAAATTAAATCATGAAATACCCCCACCGTGGAGATATGGGGCTCTGACATGGAGGGGGGAGGGGTACCGTTGGACTTCTGGAAACTATCTCACCTGGCAAAGATATTGAATCTCACAAATTATATATCGTTGTATAGCTTTTAAAGGCCAGATTCCAAATCTAATTTAGAATTGGCTTTAGCTCATTTATACAAGAGTTATAATGTAGAGTGATCTACTGCAAGTTACTCAAGTTAGAAACTGATCTTGCTCAGTTATCGTCAACATTAGCTTCAACTTTACTGCCTTAGGAATTTCTCGTGACATCAGTTATACTAGTCTTATCACTGTGCTACACTGTGTATGTTTATTTTGCTTCAAGCGGACACAATTGAGCAACAAATTTTTTTTTATTGTATTCCATAGGCACCGACTTAGGCCCCGGTCAGACTTCACGCGACTTAATCGTCGCGATCTAATCGCCAAGATTTCCATTCATTTTCATTTCACATTCAAAAATTTCGGGCTGGAAAAGTATCACAACCGAATGCAAGTTGATCAGCATGGAATGATGTTGTAACAGTTGTCTCGTCGCGATTCAGTCGCGACGATCAAATCGCGTGAAGTCTGCCCGGGGCCTTACGGATTTATTTGCAGCAATAATTCCATAATCATCACGGAGTCTCTTATTAACATTATCCACATTTGTGAGTTCCAGGTAAAACTTCATTTAGCACCTTCTAAGCCTCGAGTATCTGCCATTGTCCATTGCAATTTTCGGTCGAAATCACATTTACAACATTACACGTTTCACCCACCTAAACATGCATTTTCTCACCAAAAATGGTGTACGAAAATGAAATAATATTTATACGCATTGAAAACAAAGTAATTATAAACATTTCACTGACTATATTTTATACAAATCCAATTTAGAAAATTTGACCATTTAAACTGGATAATTTTATAATTTTCACCATTTTTTTCACCATTTTTTCAATCCCCCCCCCCGTCGACGCCGGCACTTTTCAGGCACCCTTCACTTTTGGGTGTCAAAATCAGCTGAGGCACCCTTCACCTTGGAGGGACCCCATTCACCCCATCGCAACTACGGCCATGAGTACTGCCGTAGGTTTCTCATCTGCGCCTTCTACCTGAGCAACAATCGTGCTAATGCTCGTCTTCATGAGAAGTATGAAATTTTGAACAAGAACTGCAAAAAATAAACCTGATACTTAGCCATTATTTTTGGAAATCGCACCCTTTCAAGAAGGAGATGTGTGATCAGTACTAACTTTGCTCAATCAGAGAGCGCAAATGACAGAACGTATGACTTCGACTGCCCCTTTATTGAAGTTTGAATTCTTTACGACAAAAACAAAGACCATAATCTACCAATAGTCGAAATTTGAGTAATTTTCTCTTACAACTTCTATCTATGCAATATGTATTCATTATGAGCTGTTAAGAAGAGCTGTTACAAAGACCATAATCTACCCTTTCGACCGAAACATTAGGTTGGCTAAAAAATAAGTTCAGTCGTTTCTAGCGGTTTGTAGAATTGTCATAAATCAGTTTTTAAGTGTGCATATGGTCCCACTGGAAAGAGCAAACTAAGGAAAATCGGATGGTTGAATCTGTTTTTTTTTTTCAAAAATGATTTTACTGATAACGAAATGGTGCAGGAAAGCAGAATGGTTAGATTTTTTCCTCAATTTCCAAAAAATCATGCTCCGAAAAACGAACTGAAGTCAGGTGTAAAATGTAGATTCGGTACTCACACAACGAACTATCAAATTTTTAATCATTTGCATGGCCACAGATGACCAAACTCGAGCGATATGGAAAATGGAAGGGAATGCCCAAAATTTGACTTTCACGCGCAAAGCCTGGAAATTTTCACATTTTTCACATTTTTACTGCAGAAAAGTGACAATGAATTTCGATACTTGATATTTATCTTGATCTTGATATTTAAACTTTTGTTAAAAACTTTTGAGAAACTTTTGTCACAGGGAGGACTACGTTTGTCAATACTAACTAGAGAAGGCAAATAGCAGGGACCAAAATTGTTTGATCAATTAGGGGAAAACAATTCAAGGAAAAAGCAATACATAATCTTTGGATCGAAGCATCTTTTTCGAAAATCTTCTTGGGTGGGACGGGGGGGGGGGAGAAAGACAACAGGATTTTTTCGAGTAGAGGGACGTAGCGAAAACAAGTGAATTTCCACTTTAAACTCATATGGACCATCTTCAAGAATTGAGCACCCTTTCTCAAAGGATCGGGTAAGGGAGGAAGAGACAAAGCCTCCTCCTCGCTCTACTCCCCTCTCCCTCCATCTGCCACTGCTCTCGACATATGACAGATTGATGGTAAGTGTTTATGCCGACAACATTGGCAATTACTCTGCGGCCACTTTCTGAGCGTTTACGCGCAAGCGCAAGCTCTTGGTATCCATATGCACGAAAATTATCTTCGCAATGTTGTCGCTACCATTCATCTTGAAGGCAATGTCTCGGCATTTCGTTTACCAGATATTCACCTTTTCGGGGGTTTCTCGCCGCAAGCAACCCATATTTGGGCTTTTCAGCGCATGAAAATGGCGAAAATGAGCTTTCCAGGTCGCATTTAGTGGGGAGTACACGCAAGTGGGCGGGGCTTGGATCGAGGGAGGCGGGGCGCGAAAGGCTTCTGGCGTATCTTCACTGAATGCAGGCCTGGAAAGCTTCGGAAAAAGCTCATTCTTGCTATTTTCGCTAAGCAAGCCGGATATGGGTTCCTCATTACGAGAAGGCTCCGAAAAGGTGAAAAACTGGGAAACGAAACTTTGAGACACTGCCTTTAAATCAACTATCGCATGGAACAAAGATACGAAAAACAAACAAGAGCTTGCTTGATGTTGTACATTTTATCCAATAGGAAAACGGCGTTTCCTACTTTCGAAGTAAGATGTAGTTTCACTGTAATGTGCAAAGCAATTAACGCGAGAATGTCGTTGAAATTGCACGACATTGGCTAGGTAGACCTCACTAAGCCCAAAACAGGAGATAGTCATTCTTTCAACAAATGCAGCATGATAATAAAATTATATACTAAAGAACTTGTTGAATAAAAGTCGATTCCACGACAGGCTCATACAAACTGCATCATAGCTGGCTAAACCAGATGCCAAATGTAGAGTAATTATGGAGAAAGTATAGGGTTTTTTGTCAAAAGATATTGAGGGAAAGACCAAAGACAGATAGAGAGCAAATCAATTCTAAGCCACTGACGGACTCAAATAATGACAACTGAGAATGCGAGACAAATGCCGAATAGGTCGAATGTAGTAAAAAGTAGAAAGCATACCTTGAATGTTCGATCACGGCTTATCTCTAGAACAGCACCGCCTGAATGGATAACTTGCCGCACTCCGGTTGAGATCTTAACAAAAAAAGCATTAGAGATATGATATGAATGTGCTTATAGAGTAGCACCTGTAATCGAGAGCATACGCTAAGATTATCAGGATCAAGAATTGTGATCATGCCCATATTCGTTCCGCAGATGAGTTGATTATCACGAAAACATATTGAGCGTACATAGTCATTGGCCCACTACAATGCTGATTTCATAAAGTGATAAATAGCGAGCTGCGTAGCAATGAGAACTGACCAATCCAAATGCTGGTTTGCTCGAGTTTCGAATATCCACCATTACAACCCGGCGGTCTTCTCCACAAGAATACACGTAGTTGTCCTGCAAAAAAAGGCCTTCTGAGGAAAAGCCATCAAGGCAAACGAAAAGTCAGAAAGTGTAGCGAGGATGTTGAAAGTAAACACAACCTTCATAGCTAACGTTAGCACGGCACCTTTATGATGAGCATAATTCAAAACGGGAGCGAGGCCATTTTTCACGTCGACGATAAAAACCTGACGAAGACAATTGATAAAGACTTGCCAAAGAGGGAAATTCACTATAAAATGCGGACGACAACCATACCAGTAACTCATGACATTCTAATGATAGAGTATCTCATAAAAGAAAAAAAGATTCAATTTAAAAAGTTTGATAGATCTGCCCTCTTCCAGAAATTATCTTTTTCAAAAACGTGTCGAATATTGAACCTAGATATTTTGCAAAAAAATGCACTAGCAAACTTTACCAACCTTTTTGCCGAAAGTTGAGCAAGCAGCAAGGCCATCAGGTGAATTGCTTAGACACATACCAGCCGATCCAAGCTTAGTGCTTACAAGTGGCTAGAAGACAAAGACACTCAGATTCAACTTGGCAAAATGACGTGGAAAAAACCCACTTCCACACTTGCTGGAGTGATTTGCCACAATTTAACAGTACAGTCCCAGCTGCAAGAAAGAAACTGGTCCGGTGATCGAGCGGACTGGTCTAAACACCATATCCATCCCTGAAACAACCTTAGCGATTGACTCAAAACAAATTGGATTCGATACCTCATGGGCATTTTGTATATCCGCACTAGGTTTGGTCGGTTCAGAACTGATTTGAGATTCCTGAAGCGACATGTATATAGAACTGATCGCAAAATGTTGCAAACGCACTTGCAAGTCTCCGATATTCCAAAGCTTTATGGCTCTATCTCTACCTCCAGACAGACAAAACCGACTACTAGAGGAACGATGTGCAAACAAGCGCAATGCATCGACCGTGGCGATGTGGCCAGTAGCAATTAAGCTGAAATGTAAACACCAGAATATAAATGCTGAAAAGATCCTGATATTCACTTTCTACCCGGCATCCACTTAGTCCATCGACATGTCTCCTCCTCGATAGCCACAAAACTTTTTGCAGCATTGAAATCATCTGCCTTCATGTGAGATTCGGCGAGCCGAATATTCTGTGGCATCCTCTGAAAGTGGTGTTTGCTTAGGTTTATGATTTTCAAGGTGCGCTGGAAGGCAAAGGGATGAGAGATCCACTCTTCTCTGCGCAAAAAATAGGGATTTCATCGAAACATAGGGATCGGCCAAAGGTTAGCGGCAACTTTGCGGGGTTGTCGAGGTTGCCGGCGTGGTTGAGGTTAGGGATCGTTCATACCGCGCACAAAGGCGGACGAAGGCGGACAAAGCCGGACAAAGGCGGACGAAGGCGGACGAAGCCGCATGAAGGCACGTGTGAGTGTGTGTGTTTCGAGAGAAACGAGACGAGGCGTGTGTGAGTGTGTGTGTGTGGGTGTCGAGAGAAATGAGACGAGACAAGACGCGTCTTCGTGCGCCTTCGTCCGCCTTTGTGCGGGTTCGTCCGCCTTCGTCCGCCTTTTTGCGCGGTATGAACGATCCCTTACCGATCATTATAGAATCTCATAATCTCCGAGTGTTATGCGCACTTTAAGCAGCAACCTCGCAACCCCGGCAACCCAAGGAACAGTTGCCGACAACCAGTGACCGATCCCTAGATAACGAACAGAACCAGAAGTTAAATAATGCTAGGAAAAGCTTGTATTTAAAGGCATCACCCAGGCAAATCTGGACATATGGAGATCTGACGTGGATAGTGATTTCGGTGATCTAACTAAGCCTTTGCGCAACCAGCAGCTCAGGTAGTGCTCTAACGGCTGAAATATTTCCCTTAAAACTGGACCCCAGGATCGTATTTCGCATGGATTCATGGCGTAACCCATCAGTTTCGCATGGGTTCTCGCGCGAAACTGATGGGTTGACCATGAACCCATGCGAAATACGATCCTGGGGTTCAGCTTGGAGGCGCATATCTCAGCCGTTAGCGAGTAACCTGCACTGGCGCTTGGGCAGTGCCTTAGTTAGGTCCCCAAAATTACTTTACTAAATTACTAAATTACAAAATTTCCACGTAAAATCCCCATAAGTCCAGACTTGCCTGGACGCTGCCTTTGAGAAAATGATGACTATGGGTCACACAGTAATTTTGAAATCGAAAGAATAAAAAACATACGCAAATCAAGAAAAGTTGTGGAGCAAAAGCGAAGGAAGGATCTCACAAGAGGAACTCACATGGATACGGCTTAGCCACCATTGTTGATTGTCAAGGAGTCGGCGAAACTTCTTACAAACTAATCGAACATTGTTCACCAGATGACGACCTCGTACATGCGTGAATATCAGAAGAAGTAGTTCGTTCGGCAGCCGTAAAAGCATACCATCCCCATCTTCATTGTGCACCTCTCCCATCCACAGTCACCTAAATCTCCTACTTCAATCAGGAAAGTTTTTGAAAATTGGACGGAATTCCCACAGCGAAAAAGCGATCCGTCACTATACTTGCGGGATAATTGCAGTAAGATCATCGCTGCGATAACTCAAACTAGAACGTGAACGCTCCTCCTGACCACGACAACAACGAGTTGGTAGGAAATCGATGCTCTCAAAAAAAAATCCGAGAGAATTACGATCACTAAATCAATCAACGGAAAGTTGGTTGGTTTTGCTTCGCTAGGCCTCCAAGCGAAGTGAAGGTTAACAGATGCAAAAGACACTATTTGCTTGAGCAAAGGCAGTCAAGTTAAAGCGCCATAGAGAGGGTCTGCCACTAAGTTGTAAAAAACCTTTCGTAACATGCACCATTGTGATTTCCTCTCTACAGTCTGCCCCACCCAATCAACTGTTCAAAGGTTGACCGAAATTACAGATACATTGCTGTTCTGGCGTGATTTTACGATTTTGGGAGTGCAATCGAAAAGCGAATCAAGCTGGCTGGAGCACCGATGTGCACGACAAAGAGTGATATTTTTTGCTTCTACACATTCCGTTGAATATGGTGCACCGACGATAGCGGCACCATTCCGCATTTAAAGACTGAACGGTCTTCCTTGCTTATTATAGAAAATTTGCCAAACGAAAAGGATACACAGTCGAAATGGCAGTGTGGGACGTCAGGGAAAGAGCACAGCGTTGATCACGAGTCTGCCTTATTTACCAGCGCACTCGAGAATTTATGTGCTTTTTGTACGCCCGAACGTGCACTTAATGGGAAAAAGACGGCCTAGGAACAGTGGCATGAACGCGAAGTTGCACATCAAACTAAAACATGAAGTGCTTTCAAGCGATTCGTAACTACATACTGAACATCTACGATGCAACCGCAATGCAACAACTTGATGGGTGCCCAAACCCCCATAGTTCATGACTTGCTTAAAGAAACTTCGCAAATTTGTAACCAGAACTTTCTGGACGTAAATTTTGCAAGGGAAACAAGACAGACTGCTAGACTATTCAGAAGAATGTAAAAGTTTATAAAACGAAGGGATGCCACAAGATTGCAATTAACAGTATTCTGACTTGCTTATTGACATGAGTACTCCAGACAAAAAAACGAATGGAACTGCACAAACACATACTAAACATGACTTGCGACCACCTCTAACGCGATAATAGCCAGCGAATGCTCTATCAACACTACTAAACGGGATATTTCATCCATAAGAGATGCGCTAGAGACACGATTATATACGCATAGCAGGATATCAAAACAACATAGATCATAGAGTCAAGTAAAAATGTCCTGACGTTAAAAATTCTATAAGTGCCATGGAAATAGCGTATTATCACTTCACCAAGACTGTTTAGTCCCTCTCCCCAGATAGCAAAGGGCAAATCCCAGTCTCATACAACAAGTGCTGAACTATCAAGGAACGATGCAGGATAATGTGCTAAGTAATACCTTTCGCGGTGACGAAACACAAGTCAACTTTCAACATAAATGACAGAATATTTTATTAAGGATGATATATGAAACGCAAGCGGACGAGATACATCATAAACCCATTTTTCTACTATTTACATCGAATTAACACAATCGGAAAATACAGCATTCATACATAATAATTCAATTTGAAGGGATCTAAAGCTGTAACATCAAAGTTGGGAGACCATCTGATTTTCTCTGGATCAACAACTCGCCTGCGTAACATTGAGAGTGGTAGTTTGAAAGCACGTTTCTGGAAAACGACAGTTTTGAACAGCCGCAAGCCTCAGAATATGTTCACGGAGTCAAGGATCAAGGATGCAGAAAACCAACCCAAGTTCTAAAGAAGTAGTTTTCGTCTTTCATCACCAATAAATTATCGTGTAATAACTGGTTGACAATATCCGTCGGATGAATGCGAGTGGCAAGGCTCATGTTTTTTATAGAAATGTTGTGGCAGTCCCTTGTAGATCTAAAGTACGATAATAAGAAATAATCACGGTTCGGCGCAAAATAAATTGGAGGAATTCAAGCCCAAATTTGTAAGAACAGTACCTCAGATAGCAAAGTATGCTTGACCTCCAATATCTTCTGTAGGCAAAAAGACCACGATCGGACAACGGTCGCTCTGGTCCGCCCACTTTTCTCTCCAACTTTGATAGTTGATAACCTAGCAAAGAATAGCATTGACGTCTTGTTTAGAGTGACTTCACGAGTTGGAACTCACTCATATCAATAAGCAGCTGTCCGTAACCATTCCTCTGCTCATTAGGCATTGTCATTAAACAAGATAAGTTGTAATTCCTGCTTGGATTCTTCTCCTATTATAAAACTCTTATGGCATAAAATATATCCAGATACAAGGCAGACTCACTTTCGAAAAATACCCAACAATTCTGCAACCATCCTCGTCATTCCTTGTAAGTACATAGAACAAAAACGTAGCAATCTCGTTATGCCTCGTCTTCCAGGATAGAAACTGCATAGCGAGGAGGCAGAGATTACGACAATAAGTCTGTACAGTTGTATGATTTTCGAATGTAAGGTCCACGATGTAATGCACGCACCCGTTCCACTGCTCCATCGACTTCAAAAAGTGAGAGCGATGCGACATCATCGCGATAAATCTCTCGACCAGGAGGTGTTATACGAGGGCAATGATCCTTCAGAAATCAAAATTAGGTTACAAAATTTGGATAAGGTGAGACAAGGATAGAATATATAGCATAATAAATGTATATAAATATTTTCAAAATTAACCTGATGGACAAAAAAGGAATGCTCCTCGCTGATTGGCTTCAAGCAGAAGGGACAAACGAAAAATAATGGGGCATTTTTTATACTCTCAGGATAGGGACTGGGGTAGAGAACCTAAAACCAACAAAGCAATTATATCTGAAATGAAACCAACAAAAAACAAATGTCGAAAAACAGCGATCATGAACTTGCAATAATAGCAGTGAGAGAAAAAGTAGCATTAATGAGAAAAAATAAACAAGTTCAAGTACCCTTATGTCTGTTCCTCCTCCAAGATTAATCCATTGCTCCTTGATTTGCTTTTCTGATTCTTCCTTAACTGATAAAAGAGAGTCCTCTGCCTCCAAGGCTTGTTTGAATCTGAATAAGGATATGCTCGTGAAAAAAAAACTTAGGTCAGATATGTATATATCCCACAGCTCCGCATCCTCTTTCAGAAACTGCGATAGTGTCTTTTCAGAAACTGTTCTTCTTCGAGGGCTACGACTGGCCTCTCTCTGATGTTCGTCTGCTGAGATGAGAGCATTGTTGAGATCGTCACGTTCTCGCAGTATTGCCATGGCACGATCAGCTCTTGCAGAGCTAAATGTGGCCTGACTATTCTATGCCATGACATGGAGAGATACGATAACTTACTCTGAAGAATCTCGCGACACAGAAGCAACGTCACTGGTAGAAAACAGTTTCTCAACCTTTTTCTTCTTTCCTCTCCTCTCGGGTGTATTCTGAGTACTACCAAGATTGAAAACAGGTGGCGATGACATTGTGGAAAAAGGGGAATTCTTTCGTGGTGTGCCATCTCTGAATAAACTCTCGCTTAGTATCAAAGAATAAGCACTTTTTTCCAAAACACACTGTATATACAATCGAGTAGATTTTCTGCTCAATATGGTATGCTTACACTGCAGGTGAAATGCGATTGTGAAATTTACGCGTGAGCAAATAACTACGCAAGTGATGCCGGCATTTTGCGAGCGCAATTGGCCGGCGTCAAAGGCTTAGATATTTCTTCACGCACAAGTTTTACCGCCTTTTACCTGCAATGCAAGCACACTATATTTAGCGGCAAACCTAATTGGCTGTAGGCATGGTGAAATTGCGAATGAACCGGCCCAAGCTCTGGGTAAAGCTCAACAAAACATTTGTAAAAAAGTAGATACTGGATAAACACATGAACATTACGAATTGCAGAGGCAGAAGGGTCAAAGAAAAGGGACTTACATCGGTGTAGCAGAAGATCTTGACGAATTAGCACAGTGCCTGCAGTACCAACGTTTTTCAACATATTTTCCACCTGTCTTGCAGGCACCATGCCAAGCGCGTAAGCAAGTGGTGCATTCGACATTTGATGGATCGTCAATCATAAGATAACATTTAGCGCATAGAATACACTAAAAATCATGGTAATTGTATGATACAAGTTTGTATAAGATTACAGACCCTCGGGCAAAGCCAACCATTGTTTTCCGCATTGTGAGCCATATCAGCCGGATAGAGAAGACACTGCTGCAGATGATCTAGGAAAGTTGAATATTTTTCGCTCAGTATAAGTCCGATAACAAGAAACTCACATAGTTTATGGCACTGCATACATGCATGAAGCTCACCGGTGGTACTTTTACAGAGAGTACATCGTGAAAGATTTACCGGCTTACTGTAAAACTGTATATCACGTATATTCTCGTTTGGTACATAGTTCCTGCTTACGATTTTTGAAGTAACAAGCGAGTTTTGATCGGAGACGACTTGCCGTCAGTCTTGTCTGCAGAAGCATGTGATCCAGTTATAGTTCTTCGCCTTTTCCTGGGAGTTTCCTTGCGGCCTCTGCCAGCAAGCACTCTTGCGCATGATGAGGCAACTTTGCGACCCTGAACAAGTTGCCAGGTAGAGTAGCACAGTAAACAGAGATGGTAAAAGCACAAAAAACGTTCATTCATTAATACAGGTGTCAAGCAGCTATATTTTGCATGTTTATGCAGTACTCATTCTAGATCCAGAATTTTGCACACCATCCGACAACAGATGCTGACGTTACAATACCCATGAGTATGTGCCGTGATTCCTCCCTCTCGTCTGAATGTTCCGTGTACGGCGCTAGTATGGTAAAGAGAAATTTCATGTTTCTGCTATTGAACTCGCCAAGACGAATAGAGCAAGCAGAGCGTGCATTTTCGGGTGACTTTCACATACTTGAACAAGCAAAGCATATCGACACGCTCTGATAAGTGATGGTAGGAAATGATTTCCTATGTCAAGGAAGAATCTGTAGATGCTGCTTTCGAATGATGAGTATTTCGCGCTAACAATACAGTGAGCGCTCTTGATTTGAAAACGTGGCTGCATTTGACAACGCACATAAGAAAGCTTCAACATAACTTTTGTGAATCTGCACAAACAAAACATCTATCGCAGCAGCCAATTAGCGGTATGCAATATTGCATTTTTGGCTTCGAAGTTAACTATCCAGAACATTCTTAACTGGCCGGTTTGACTTGAATGCACCGTCCACCCAGATTCTGGAATTCCAGTTTTGGGTTCCGGGACCTTCTTAAATCTCAGACTCCGTATATAAATTCGAAGATCGAGAGCCCCGACAATCCCCGTTCCGGTGAACCTGCAGGCCGGTATTCCGGAACAGTGATTGGATAAGCGTGCATTAATGGGCGGGTATTACTGAGAGGGGGCGCTGCCGACTTGGGTTCCTCATGCCTCTCGCTATTCCGAAGCGACTTTCTCGCAAAGCAACATTTTTCGCCGCAGCTTGGTCATTGTCTTTATAGGAGGTCCTATTATCATGAACTGGCGAAAGCTCAAAACTCTCAATTCGAGGTGGACGGTGCCTTCAACGCGCCGGAGCTGTGGAGTCAAAAAAAAAATTACTTCGAACTGACTGACTGGCATCGCGATCATGTCTCAAATCCGTACGGCACAGTATGAATGATTTAGTGTCAAGCAAAAAAGACAGATTTTACTGGTTAAAATAATCGGAACCTGTAAGATAAAAGCACACCTTACTTTCAGAGGAGTTCGAGGGCTGCCGCGAATCTTGAGTGGAGTTCTCTTTTTTGGGGATGTGCTTGGCGTCTTGCTGTTCTTCAAACCGTCGCCACTTCTCAGTCGGCGCGATATCGAATCACGAGCTATCGAACGAGGAGTACGAGGTTTTTTCATCCTTCCTGGAATAACATGCTCACTAAACTCACACTTGATGACACACGCGGGCACATATTACTCTCATTTCCATCAGAGTACGCAGGTTTGTATTACACTCGAGATGATTTGGGAACAAGAAGAGAAGGTGACGAAAGGAAGTGATATAAGAAAAATTTGATGATAACGACATTATGATAACAGTATGAACCAGAACTCGCCAAATGTGTACTTTTCGCCAAAGGTAAATAGCACGGGCAAGAAAACTGCGACAAACGTTACATCATTCTTTGATACGTTTCTTCGAGGGTTCAGGGACAGCCAGCCATTCCTAAGGCAGTCTCCAGGCAGGTGTAAAGAATCCTTATGCGCAATTGTTTGTAGAATATAACTAACAAGGGAAAAATACTTGGTCAAAGTGGCCTTTCCATATGAGATGTACCGTCTGCACCCCAGAGAGGTTCTCATGTGAACCAGCGTGCACACTGCCTTTCGCTCTTTTTGACACGTTTCTCCTGAGATTTCAACGGAAGTGCCCGAGGTTAACACGTTTAAAAGTGCGAAAAGCAGCGAGATGACGTGGTAGGGATCGGCCATACTATTCCTGCTATTCCTACGATTCCTGTGACTCCTGCGATTCCCGTGATTCCCGCACAGTTTAGACGCCGCTTAAATGAGCGCGTGTTGCGTAAAACAACACGCAACACGCAACACGCGCTCATTTAAGCGGCCTATAAACTGTGCGGGAATCACAGGAATCACAGGAGTCGCAGGAATCGTAGGAATAGCAGGAACAGTATGGCCGATCCCGTATGGTTCATTTTTGAAATAGTGACGACGAGTGTGACTGCGGTCTTTGCGCAACAGGAGCATAAAACACCCATAAGAACAGGCATTACTTCAACGCTCAGCGCAGTCACTTCCAGTGTCTGAATACTATCATATGTAAGCAGAAAAACCATTTGAGTAGAGAAAGAAACCAAGAAATGGGAGTGCGTGGGTGTCGCGCCATCGTCACGATTTTTCGAATGCCCTATACCTATGGGAACCTCTCTGGGGCGCAGACGATACACTATTTTACTAGTGAGCCAGTAGTCTTAGGCCTCGGGCAGAGTTCACGCGATCTGATCGTCGCGATTCAATAGCGACAAGACAACTGTTACGAGTTCATTGCATGCCGATCAGTGCCGAGCATTTCGGTTGTGATACTTTTCCAGCACGAAATTTTTGAATGTAAATTGAAAATGATTGAAAATCGCGTGAACTCTGTCCGAGGCCTAAAGGTGCTATTTGCAAGAGCGTTCACTTCGGGATCCGCCGCGATTTCCCGCTAATGGAAAATTTTTGGAGCTAATGAACCTTTATATATTAGATAGAATTAGACAGAGCATGGAACGCTGATTCCAAATCTGTTTTCGGTATCTACAGCGCTTCTAGGAGCGTAGTTATCGAAATTTTTTGATGCAAAAATTCAAAAGAGTTGCTACAACAAAACTATTCTGAGTCTTAATCCTTGAGTTCAAAGGGACCATGATTACTACCAGGGCGTTTTATGAAATAAACACCTTCAATGTAATGAACTTATGTCAGTCATTACTCCTTTCAGGCGCCGGAAAGACCTCAACACCCATTTTTTTCTTAGGTAGGTGCCAGAGTAAGCGAATATTTTGTTCAAGTTGGGGTCCCGCGCAGAACTGGCATCACTAATCATTGTGGCATAATGCCAACTTGGCGTTGTACCACAATGATTAGTAACGCCACTTCTGCGCGGGACCCCAACTTGAACAAAATATTCGCTTACTCTGGCACCTACCTTAGCCTGACCATTAAATTTTACCACAGAAAATTCTCAGAACTTCCCTTTCAGAAGCGCTTCGCGGATACCGAAAGCAGATTTGGAATCAGCGTTCCATGCTCTATAGTGTACATCTCATATAGAAAAGCAACTTCGGCCAAGATTCCTTCTCTCGTAAAAACTCGGGCAGAATTCACACGATTTCATCGCCGCAATTCTCCCAACAAGAGAAACAGTTACGAGTCTAATGCATGCCGATCATTTTGCATTTCGGTCGTGATAGTTCTCCAATACGACCAGTCGTGATCGTGACTAACCATCATTACCGAAATGATGATCGACATGCAATGAGTCGTAACTGTCTTGTTGGGGAATCGCGGCGATGAAATCGCGTGAACTCTGCCCGAGACCTAAACCACTGCCTAAGCGGTAGTACGATATTCGCCGCTGAAAGAACAAACGTTAAACTCTAGGCAATGCCACTGTACGCGAGGGCGCTTGCTAGCTCGAAAGAGTATAGACCGGACTGGTTCAAAGTCAAAAATTTCGGCCATGAATGCTGTGCGATCCCGCTTAATTACTCATTCTCTGACATTCGGTGCGTGCGGCGCGCGCTTGTTAATGGCGAGCAGTGCGGCCCGCGCGCCTAGATTTACGGGCGGGGTCATGTACCGTGCGGCCCGCGCTCCTTGTATCCTTAGCGTACTGCCCGCGCGCAATATATTCTCCCCGTGCCGCCCGCGCGCCTCCAATTTTCACACGCTATAAGCGTAATGGGTACCAGCGTGAGGTACGACGCTATGATTAGGCTGCTCCATCACTTGTGGGATTTAGATATCATTTCTTGGCATTTGAGTAATCGCAGGAACATAAGGAGTTTTTTGCTTCTACGGAGGTTATCGCTCGACAGCGTCCCGAATGGGTGCTAAATTTGAATTTTTGAATTCTATGAACTTGAACTCAAATTTTCGAATTTTTTGAATTCGGAATTTTTTTGAAGTGTGAAGTTGAGAATGCTCACGGCACGACGAAAGAAGAAAAAGAAGATCTATAAAAGACCTATTCTCTAGTAGCTTGCGGACGGAGCGCTTTCGATACCGTGCGGCCCGCGCGCATTCACCGTTCGGCCCGCGCGCATTCATCGTTCGGCCCGCGCGCACGGAGCGTTCGGCCCCCTCGCACTACAAGGCGCCACACGGGGAGCACGCGCGCCGCACGGACCGAATGTCAGAGTTGTTAGTTGCGGCTTTTCAGTTCATGTTTGAAGTAGTCTAATTACTTGGACACTGCTTGAAAAACGTCAGCGTCTATAATGCCACTAATACAATTGAGATGTTCGCGCTGTGTCAACATGCGTCAGCTGTTCGAAGCGCAAAAGTATAAGACACACCTAACTCAAGTAGCAAAATTCTCATCTACAAAAAGTAAATGAAAACAAGCTAATTCCAAAGTTTGCATGTTGCGCGTGCTGAGCACCTGTTCAGGTGAAACAAATCTATAGAGAGAGGCGAATCTCAGCAAGAACTTCTCGCCTTTTCTTGAACAATTGAAACAAAAACGGACTTAGTACTGCAGATAAGCCACACGCCATACTTGATTCACTTGATCCGCTTAGTCTACTTCATCCACATTGCAGTTAATCTGTTCACTGATTTCAAAATAAATCTAACAATAAATAATTCAAACATGCCGAGCACCCTCAAGCAGCTCACAGACAGGCCATCAAAAACTAGAAAATTCAGAAATGCATTGGAAGCACCGATTGAACTTCTTGGCAACAATTTCCATTGGCGGTGGAGCGCGCATTCTCCGTAGGGCGCAGAATGTATGCAAAACGGCTCTGACCTCTTATGCAGTTCACCTTGCACAGAGGTGCACGCTCCCCCCCCCCCCTCCCCTAGCTCCGTGCAACAGTCGAGTGCATCGGATCAATACCAGGCGTAACAAGCGCTTAGTCAGCACTTTTCGAAATCCCAGCAAAGGCAGTTTTTCTGTCCACGGGAACAAGCTGTTTCACCATTTCCTTGGACACTGAGCGTTTCTACTAAATTTCACTGGACTTTACGCGTCTAGTTTCCACAAAAAACGACTGAACCAGCAGCGCCACGCCATTGCTAGCCATTAGTCAGCAAGTGCGCGTACTCCTTCGCATGGTTCCCTATGAATTCTATTCGAATTTCCACAGTAAACATCTTGCGATTGCCATGCACGTTTGGATTTGAAATGAGAGATCTGCCGATTTTTTAAGCTTCAAAAGTGCATAGTGTAATATTAATTATTCCGAGACTAGCATATTCGAAAATGCTACAGGCGTTGCAGCAAGCTCTGTGTTCCGTTGGCGGTTTTAGAGTAGATCATCCTAGACATTCAATACACTTGTAGTAACTTCTTAATCACATCTCAAGCCTTCTCTAGTTGGGTTCTAGAGTGAATCGAAAAGTCTGCATTTTGCTCTCAGCATTGGACATGCAATACCCTTCTCAGGTACTGTTTTGCAGTGTCATACAAGTTCATCAATAGCAGCTTCATAACCACAGACTCGGTCGATAGTCCACTGATTGTGAGGCGAGCAACGGGATATAGCGTCAATAACGACGGGATAATTTAGCGCTAATAACTAATTTGAATTTTTATCAGCTCATGAAGCCACAAAATAAGCCTTTTACTTTGATAGATTACTGCTATCGTTGTTATCCTCTCGCTCTTCCGTTGACGCAAACCCCATAAGGAACTTGTAGTCAGATAAGGATGATCCCGAGCAAAATTCAATTTTGATTGAATTAAGTGCTTAACTTTTTTAGTCAAGAGAAGTCATATCATCATATTGAGAGTTAATATGACTTTCCTCGATCTCCTCTCGATCTTTCATATTCTCACTGACTTACCCTCGTCATACCCCTCAACTTCTACGCTTGCTACGTCTCATGTGCTTTGAATCCCATTGAGCTCATCAAAAGGCTAACAAACGAAAAACACAAGTTATTGAATACGAATGAACTTCCTTTTCTAGAGTGACGCTCTTGTTCTGAATAGCATTGAATGATTAAAATTTCCTGGAAAAAAGTAGTGAATCCCTTTCGCTGTCTGTAGCACAGTAAACAATGAAATCTTGCGAATCCGAACTGAGAAGCCATCTAAACTGAATACTCATTGTAAGCAGAATCCTAGCCGTCACTCTGCATAAGTTTTGCGAGTTTCCCATTCTGAGAAATGATTTGAAATATTTCTAAAAGGATTGTAATTTTCGGGAAATATTTTAGAGTAGAGGATAAATTTCTTTTGACATTTCGGTTGAGATCTTATGTCTTTTTTTGAAAACCTTTGATCATCAAAACCTTTTTTTTTTGTTAGAAAGAGAGATTTCAATGCGTGTAATAGCGACAATCAAATCTTCTCACAATCCTTTTAGCATTTTTCAGCCCCACGAGAATTGCTCACCTTGAGTGTCCATATATCTGATCTTAAATTCACATGTTGTCATCGCAAATTTTGCATTTCTGAAAAACGCTAGAGAGTAGTCAAGCTCCACATAGTGCCGGTGCACACCATCGCTTCGTGTTGCTAATGAGATTTCTGATAAATTTCCAGCAACAACCTGTTCTTGAAATCCAGGCGGCTTATCACTTTTGGGGACATTTAGTAAAAAAGTAGATACATATAGTTTGTCACGTGGGACATATTAGTGGATGTTTGTACTTGTTTGTCTATTCATTTGTTAAGTGAAAAAATAAGATGCAAAGGAGGCAAAATCTGTAGTCATGAGCTTGGAAAACGAGAAAACTTCGAATGTTCTCGAAATCGGTTTTCTCATCGTCTCTCTTCTCATCTGTTGATGTTCTGCATCTAATTACCGGGACACGTCGCTGACATTTCCATGCATTGCAATAATCCTGTGTGCCACTTCTGTGAAAAGTTCACAACGCTAGCGCAAGGTCAGCCACTAGTTTTTCGGTTTCCACCATATCCACATCGAATTTTTGAGTCTGCACTTTCCACCTGCGCTGCCTTTGCAAAGACGAATGCACGGCAAAAGTTTTTTTTTCAAGAACTCGAAGCGCTGCCATTGCGATGGTTGCGAAATTTTTGCTATGTTCGAAACTCCTTAAACATTCCGACGTGTCCACCAAGGCCGAAGAATAATGTAGCACGGTACAGCCTCTATATCAAGCGTCATTCTTTTTTTGTAAAAAAACGCTTTTCGTTTCCACTGAAACGCGGAGTAGCCTTCTTATGATGTGTGAGTGAGTAATCGTCATGGGGATACTTGGTAATTTGAAATCAAATATCTTGAATCCTTTGGATCGATGAACCGTTCTTTCCATCGCTCAAAATTCTAGGCGGATAACCTCGAGAACTGTGCTAGAATTGTCTAAGTGTGAATGTTTGTAGAAACAGAATTGGAGCTCTGTTTTTCGTATTTTGCCTTCCTTGGGCGGCTGAATTTCCTCGTTCGTCTTCGTTCACGTCATCAGTATGCTATGGCCATCCATTCGAACGGGCGCGAATTCCTCTTCTGGGATGTCGTTTTTCGATAACGACCATAGCATTCCAGTGCACGCGCCATTTTTCTTCTAATCGTACATCTGCACACGGTGTACTTGTGTCTTTATTCTTGCCGCATTTCAGGTGAACGAAAGTTTCTGCTAATTCAAATGAAATCATATCTTTGCAAATTTAGAACATAAGTTCATGAAGTTGTATGTATCCTACGAATAGAAGAAGTTCCTCGCAAAAGTGATGGTTGCAAATTGTTGGCTAGTTTTGGAGAAGAAAGGACGTCACTATATTTCGAGATCTTATTTTTTGTCCAGAAGTACCGAAGCGCCAATGGTGGGCCAACGGGGGAGGGGCCCACTTCTCGAGAATGGGTGGCGAAATTTTTGAAATTCATCTACATGAGTCATAAAAATGGGAAAGTGACTTGTCTATACTTGTTAACAATCGAATTAATTTCTGAATTTCTAAACAAAATCAGTGTAATTCTTGCGAGGGTGCAAAAATTTTGAGAAGCATTTAAAAAATGTTCTCATCAGACTTCCCCTTCAGGCCGCATTTTCTTTTCACCACCACGAAAACTACTCGAAATTATTAGCTGCGTTTTTTCATCATCGCACTGCAGAATCACGCTATAACTTCCGTTTCAACCTAGTACTTTGTTCCGATATAATGAAAGATTTATTACCCTAATTTCACGCGTATAAGGCACGGGGGATTTCTTTCAAAATCGACCAGCCCAGACACGCCAAGGGGCTTTACAACCAAGAGACCCTATGACGTGCTGTATATTGCTTGAGCGAATCGGCGATGTAAGCGAATTTTTTTCCGGCGGCGTGCTTGAAAATTCGAAAAAGTGCGCCTTATACGCGTGAAATTAGGGTAAGCACTAGCTGCGGTCCCCGGTCCCGCCCGGGCCGAGGGTCCAAAGTGGCCCGTCTGCTTCAAGATGTTTGCTTACCATTCCTCCACTTCCTTCAGATCATATTTTCTCTTCCTCTCCTGCTTCAACTCCAGTCAGTTCCAGCACTCGCGTAGTATCCATGGTGAATTTGTCCTTCTTGACCGGCTCGCTTCGTGACACCGCTCCTTCTCACCGCAAAATGTAAATGATCTCTACCGCCCCTTATTAATTAACTTGGAGAAATGAATGATATAGCTTTGCTTTTAATTTCCCAGATGTTAGTAAACAAATCATTAAATCGATAGAAGGACCCAGCGAATTGTTGCAAAAAGTAGCTTATCTTCTGCGCCGCGTCTCATTTATAGGGAACTAAAATTTAGCCTCTTTGGTGTACATACGAAGGAGTCTATAAGACACAAGCCGATTAACAAGCAAAGGTACAGTTTTGAGTTTTAAATACGTATATTATAGTTATATAGATTGGGCATTACTCTGAATGCTCTACGACTCGTTCGGTTGCATCTTTTCATTTCTAGCTGTCTAGAAATAGTCTGTAAGTCTGTGATCCTCAAATTTATCTGGGTGGTTTTATGCTCAGCCTTTTCATCAATATCTTCCAGTTTCGATCTCTTATCAATGTTGGCATGAAATGCTAATATCTTAAGCCTAGCCCAATCAGTGCGATTGATGCGATTATCAATATCTTTCATTGGATCTGGCTAGTTTGAGTTTATTTACTTTAGTTGTGAATATCCATAATCATTTTCCAACTCTATCCATACGTGTGCGAAGGGGGAACATGGCCTCTCCAGGGTGAAGGGGGTCATAGGGGTCCCTCCTCTCCAGACTGAAGGGGGTATGAGGGCCGCTGGGGGGGGGGGGGAGCGGCCGCCGCTGTGGAGGTGCGTCGACCGGGGGGGGGGGGGGGGGGCAATGTTCGTCATCGTTGCTTCTCATGTTCTTTTCATTCACATGCATCAAGTGAAATTGTAGCCAAACCGGGTTAAAGTCGAATATTGGGTTTTACCCGCAGAAATTCGAAGAAGAAAAACTGGAATAAGTGAGACTAAGAAATTAACATTTTAAGCAAAATTTTAAAACTATCCACATTATTAAAATCAAATTTAGTGACATGTTGATTCTGAATATTATTATTATGATTATCAAAACTTACTTGCAGGCTCCCTGAGAAGTACGTCGGAAATTTGCCGCCTATTGTTCACTTCTAGAGAACGAAGAAAAAGCCTGGAGAAAAATTTACGTGTGAAGCCTTTGTGTATATACGTCAATGAAGTTATTACTCACGTATTTGCTGAAATAATAAGTGAAATAATAAATGAACTTTGATGATCGATGCGCAGTTAAATTGCATTTCTTTTTAAGAGGTATAAATTTTCTAAGCAAATGGCGGAATCCGTGTAAAGTCATTGAATGATTCCTTAAATAGTCATTGTTCCAACTTTTACCATTATTTCTAAACCCCGAAAGAGATCGTAACATTTGCTAGAGAAGCAGGTGCAACAGAGGCACCTATTACATTCAAGACTTTGTGTAATCAGAGTTGGTCTTACTGTCAAAATGTTATAGCTACGAGGACCGTGAAGTTCTAAAATCCGCCTACTTGGACAATGATAGGGATGAAGAAAGCAGCCAGAGATGCATTTTTCCACCTTGGAGCACTATACAAGAGGAGAAGGACAATCGTATGTGATCACTGCGTGATTATTCTGAAAAAAATTTTGTTTTCCATCGAAGAAGATTGAGAAATAGAAAAGATCCTAGAAGGAGAACTCAGTCATAATTAGCCTACTCTAGTTTAGAAGTCTACTTTCCATCCGCTTTCAGAAAATATACAGCTTGCTAGGAAAAGGAGGGTTTTTCCTGCTAAATAGAAATAGTTTTAGTCATTTTTTCAAAATTGTAGAATTTTTCTATAAAAAATTGTAGATTTATGATATGAGAAGATAAGGGAGTCTCTAGCCATACATTGAATTACTCTTGTTGAAAGCTTTCAGGAAATATAATAGCTTACAAGGAAGAAAGGAGTTTCCTGTATTGTGAAGGTGGTCGCAATTGTTTTTCTAAAATTAAGGAAATTTTTTTAAATAAAATTTCATAACTTTAATATACGAAAAGCTAGAAGAGTGCTTTGCACTCTATTGGAAACCCCTCGTCGTCCGCTTTCAGGAAATATACAGTTTGCCAGGAAAAAAGAGGATTTTCCTATCGGGTGAAAGGGGTCGCAGTCTATTTTCCGGAATTAAGCTAATTTTTAATTTAAAAAAATCATAACAAATTTACATGAGAAGCTGGGAGAGTATTTAGGTGTTTATTGAATTCCTCTCGTCGTCCGCTTTCAGAAAATATATAGGTAGTAGGGAGAGGGATGTTAAAAGTACGTGGTGAAAGGGGAGGGAACATGGTATAATGGAAATCTTCCTTTCTGTACTCAAAAAGCGTCGTTTTAAGGAGCTAAAGGAACATGTCCATTATACCATGTTCCCTCCCCCTTCACCACGTACTTTTAGCATCCCTCTCCATACAACCTATATATTTTCTGAAAGCGGACGACGAGAGGAATTCAATAAACACCTAACTACTCTCCCAGCTTCTCATATAAATTTGTTATGATTTTTTAAGTTAAAAATTGGCTTAATTCCGGAAAATAGACTGCGACCCTTTTCACCCGATAGGAAAATCCTTTTTTTTCTGGCAAACTGTATATTTCCTGAAAGCGGATGACGAGTGGATTCCAATAGAGTGCAAAGCGCTCTTCTAGCTTTTCGTATAGTAAAGTTATGAATTTTTATTAAAAAAATTTCCTTAATTTTAGAAAAACAATTGCGACCACCTTCACAATACAGGAAAATCCTTTCTTCCTTGGTAAGCTATATATTTCCTGAAAGCTTTCAACAAGAGTAATTCAATGTATGGCTAGAGACTCCCTTATCTTCTCATATCAAAAATCTACAATTTTTTATAGAAAAATTCTACAACTTTGAAAAAATGACTAAAACTATTTCTATTTAGCAGGAAAAACCCTCTTTTTCCTAGCAAGCTGTATATTTTCTGAAAGCGGATGGAAAGTAGACTTCTAAACTAGAGTAGGCTAATTATGACTGAGTTCTCCTTCTAGGATCTTTTCTATTTCTCAATCTTCTTCGATGGAAAACAAAATTTTTTTCAGAAGAATCACGCAGTGATCACATACGATTGTCCTTCTCCTCTTGTATAGTGCTCCAAGGTGGAAAAATGCATCTCTGGCTGCTTTCTTCATCCCTATCATCGTCCAAGTAGGCGGATTTTAGAACTTCACGGTCCTCGTAGCTATAACATTTTGACAGTAAGACCAACTCTGATTACACAAAGTCTTGAATGTAATAGGTGCCTCTGTTGCACCTGCTTCTCTAGCAAATGTTACGATCTCTTTCGGAGTTTAGAAATAATGGTAAAAGTTGGAACAATGACTATTTAAGGAATCATTCAATGACTTTACACGGATTCCGCCATCTGCTTAGAAAATTTATACCTCTTAAAAAGAAATGCAATTTAACTGCGCATCGATCATCAAAGTTCATTTATTATTTCACTTATTATTTCAGCAAATACGTGAGTAATAACTTCATTGACGTATATACACAAAGGCTTCACACGTAAATTTTTCTCCAGGCTTTTTCATCGTTCTCTAGAAGTGAACAATAGGCGGCAAATTTCCGATGTACTTCTCAGTGAGCCTGCAAATAGGTTTTTGATGATCATATCAATGATATTAGGAATTAAAATATTACTGAATTCAATTATAATAATGTGGATAGTTTTATAATTTTGCTTAGAATGTTAATGTCTTACAAGGGAAGGATAGTTGGATGCCGCGGCCATTCCTAACGATTTGTATACCAAAAAATGCGCCTTCGAATGCAGATTCTGAATCTGTGCTCGAAATCTGCGAAACGATCTTTTGAAGAAAGTTATGAACTTTTTTCCTTGAAAATTTAGCCTACTTTTGGATAGTAAAAATCACCAGATTTGATCTAGCCTACCGTTTGATGCTACTGAAGAAAATTTTAGACGTAGTAATATTTATTTAGACTATCTGGATCATACTCACATTTGGAAAGAAGAGAAAATTTTTGTATTGATGGCTTTGATCCTCCGCAGGAACGCAATTTTTTTGATGAAAAAAAAAATCATAGCTCCATTCAGGTTATCGTTTCGCAGATATGAAAGACAGTCTACGAACCAGCATTCAAAAGCGCATTTTTTGGTATACAAATCATTATGAATGGCTACGGCATCCAAGTATCCTTCCCCTGTTAGT